CAATGAAAGAAATGATATTTGCACCGTCGCCCATTACCGGTGGCCTGTTAGGTTGCGAGGCGCACGTTCTAAGTCCATACCACGAGGCGTCATACTTTTCAAAAAGAACCAGGTTTGGCTGCGAATGGGAGCCTGAGCCACTCGAAGATATACCAAAGGATGATAGTCTCCAACAGACCAAGAAAACAGGATGCAAGGACATTTTTCCTGTTTGATAGATAGTGATGCCATCTTGAACATGAGAACTGTCTCCACTGTGAAAAGTATCATACATGGCCGCTATGAATTGGCCGCTGTGGCTGATAGCAGCTGCACAGCATGCAAGGGAAGATGGCACACCAAGATCTCTTGGGACAAGCCCCGGTCTCATTGCTGGACAACCTGTCTTCATGAATTGACCTCTTAGGCATATACGATTACCTTCAAGAAAGAGAAGGACGTCCACCGTGGGGTCGTAATGAACCCATGCACGGGATACGGAAAGAATCTGAGGGGTTACGGCAGTGGTACCAACAGCTTCATGAACAATTTGACAGGTCCGAGACAGGGTCCTTATTGGCAGACATTTCCAGATCAGCTCGGGCAAAGCTGTTAATGCCTGCCTATACGTAGTGAGCATATTGATAGTTTCACTGGCCCACTCCGTCATTACTATCAGATCATAACCACCGTCAATACCAGCCAGTTGTTCGAGAGTGTCGATGGTGACTTCAATGCTCAAGAGGTTGATAGCATGCACCAACCAGGTGATTACAATACGGTCAGAAATGAAGGAGGCAATGGTACTGATCAGGCTGTCGACAGCCGAGTTTGTATGTCCTGTACAAAGGCCATTGAGAATCAATCCTGGCCAGTGAATAACGGCAAAATTGAAAAGTGGATATCGCTCCATGAAATTGGCTTCTTCAGAGGGTGATTTCCGTATGAATGTTGCAGAGGGCATGAGATATCCATCAGAACGAAGTGCATCCCCAAGAAGATACCTGAGACACAATGTTCCCAATGTTAATTCAGCATGCCGAATGTCTTCGAGAAAGGACCTTAAGGCTTCTGAGCCAGAAGATTGAATTGAATGAATCTGAAAGAACTGGTTTGCCGACAAGTGAACAAGCGTAAACGTGTCTCCATTGCTTGGCCCGGCATACGTGACAAGATTTCCGCAAGCATCGACAATATCTTGACGCGACCAAAGCAAGTCCGATGATTGGTCAAACCAGGCATTCCTTGCTAAGGTATCATTATCAATTCGGGGTCGCATCAATCTCAGTCCTTCTTGCAATTCAGAAAACTGTAGGGGTCTCGGGCTGTGAACAATCCATCGAAGGACTAACAGGCTAAAGCCAACACCATCATCCTTTTCAATGATAGAATGGCAAATTCGGCCATACATAGCATCAAGACCTTTTGGGAGGTGATCAAGAAGTTTATGGAGGGCCTGTGTGTCTCCCTGTCGTTTGACCTCCTCACACATAAAAAAGGCCCATAAGAACATCCCTTGATGGTTGTCTGCCCTCCCAATTTCATCTGAGAGACGGTCTCGCAGTCGCTTGTGGTTGCTCAAACGTGGGATGCTACATATCGTGTGGCGAACGAAGGTTTGGATGTCCTGCTGGACGTCCTCCAGAGTAATTTCAAGGTTGACAATTGGAATGGGAAACATGTACAGAGATTGGCGGACAAGGTCCCAAGCTGATTTCCGCCCTGTCATAAGGACTTTTACTTTGCCCCGACATTGATGGGCTAGATTCAAAAAGTCCGAAACGAGCGTCGAGGGTGACTGGCATTCGTCCATCGCATCCATGACAATGGTTATGGTGCCCAGGTTGCTTGACTCCGTTGCTTGAGCAAAGTCCAAAATGGTTGCAGAGAAGATATTCCAGAAATCTGTATAGCTAGCATGACGAGAGCGCTCAAGTGATGCCGCCTCCATACGTGACTCCAAATCCGACAATAATGGTTTATTTGTGCGACGAAATTCATTGAATAGTTGGTCAATGAAGGAGCGGAGGGCTGATACCGGAGTACGCTTATCGGTGTCGCTGTCCTTGAAGTAATGATAAAGTAACAGCTGATTGGAGGTTGTCTGGGAGCGGGAACGCGCGTTGCTGATGATCCGGGAGCTTAAGATGGTCTTCCCGGCACCAGGTATGCCGTGAATAAATAGGAACGAAGTGGATATGGATGTTGACCAATCAATATATGACTGTTTCCTCTGTATCCATTCGCATGTTCCTTGGTACCGGACTTCGTCAGCTACGTAAAAATCCTGTTCGTAGTCGGGCGCATTGAGCCAATTCTTGAGTTCTTTCTGGCGAGCCGACCGATGGAAAAGATTGTTTTGATCGTTAAAAAAAGCCGAGTCGGCGTTGTGCTGTGCACTAGAGGCTTCGTGTAGCCTAGTTTTTCCTTCTACAATTGCGTCTCTCAGTCCCTGAAACTTCTTGTCGATAGAGCTCGATAGCACAAAGGTCTTGAACCGAGCCCGGAGTCCTACATACAATAGATAGATCCACTGGCTATACAACAAGCATGGAAATTATGCGCACCTCCTAGCCTCAAACGATAATATTTTACAGCCTCCACCCAAAATTTGAGGATTGCAACATACAGGGCTTCGACTACGGATTGGACGAGAGGCGAGGCAGAAAATGTATTTTCTTGGATACGAATATGTCCGACTTCCTCAGCCATCCTTTCGAAGAAATCCAAGACCTCGTCAAACACCTTGACGTTGTTCTTCGCCATCTGCACGGATAGCATGACATTAAGTCAAACGAGAGACGAAATGCCCGTACCTGGAGTACGAAAGAGACACTGCCCCATATCAGCTCGCCAGCCCGAGGGCTCATTTTGCATGCGCCCTCCATCAGCTTTTCGAATGGCTCAAGTAGGAGGGCTTTCTCGCCAAAAGTTTGAAGCGAAGATGTTTTGCGACTTTGATCGAGGGCATCCCCAACTCGTTTTGCTTGTGCCACGAGATCAGAAAGACTTGTTGGCGCTTGAATACGAGCACGTTCCTCGGCAGTAAGGTGTTGGGTATAGACCTGAAGGGCGCGTCTGAAAGCGTCTGGCTCAGTCGTCGCCATTGCTGGTGGAGGTTAAGAGGTGAGAAATTACTAAGGCTATTGCACCACGTCTGCATCAGCTGTTGCTGTGTCGGCCGGTTCAGAGAAAGATCATAGATCCGGCCTTGTCGGTAGTCCATGGAATATCAAGGTTTTCACTAGGAGGCTGTCTAAGGATCAGATATCCTGTCCTCCTAGGTGTACCGAGTTACAATGTCCCCGATGGAAGGTATGCGAGGAAGAAAAGAAAACATCCATTCACTAGAATTTATTATAAATAGCATTCCTTCCCCCTCATGACTCAAACACTTTCAATGACGAAATGAAGAAGGCAGGATCGCTGATGTCCTTGAGCTTGATCTCATCGATAATAGGTCCTCCATAAGATGGGCCTGCGAAGTCCGATA